TTTTTGATCTGACCGATTTCAATGGCAATACTTTTTTAATGAGTAATTTATATCCATGTGTTAGAAAGAAATAAAATAAGTGAAAAAATATTCCGAAAAACTGTTAACTCTGCAGGCCAACCTTACAAATCATTTGAATGGAAATTTTTAAACAACGCAATCTATTGAACGCATCGATTTTCGCCCTTTTTTGAATTTTTTTAAATTTTCTTAGCGAGATGTTGAAAATTCAACTTAAAAAAAAACTAAGGGGCCTCCACTCCTTCGTTGTCCCAGGGCGTCCAGACTTTCGAATCCTGCCCTGCGAAACATTATTGGTCCAACAGTTTTGGAAATTAGATCTGATGACATATAATTATCGATTGGCAAAATGCACGAGAAAAATATTGTCACGATTTTGATGTTGAATTTATTTTACACAGGAGGTTCGAACTCTGCCAATTAATGTTAAAGCATTGAATGAAAACAATATCACATACTAAATGCTGAAAATGTTGTCNATAAGTAAACACAATAATATTATGAATAACGATGACGGACCTATACCAAAGAGCATACTATATAGCTTGTTAAAATAATGTTGTTGGGTTTACTGATTACTACATAAGGACACATTGCAAAAATAAATTTAGATAGGCAATATTGTGAAATTAATTTTTATATAGCTGAAAATTGTTTTATATACAGCTATAACAGTCAAACATATATTGTAAAATAATAGATAAGGCAAAATGTAAGATTAATTTAGGTTGGTATACCTGTATGGGTGGTACACCTAGATGGTTTACCTGTATGGGATATCTATATAGCATAAATAGCGTTAGCTTCGTGTTAATTTCTAGTTTAATCTTCCTCTTTGAAGAAGATCACTTGGTGATCGAAACACGTGTTGAGGTGTTAAAAATAACGATTTGGTGTTGGGAGAAAACTCCAGTAATATTCAGATTTTAAACAGATTGCACATCTACAACCTGAAACGAACCTACATATAAATTTTCTGAAATATTTATCATCAACGGTAATGCCTATGTGAACACCATTTTCATTGAACGTTATTAAACCTGTTTTAATAACATTACAACGTCTAGAAAGCGGATTGGTTTTATAAAACCGGATTTACTAAGTCATGTCACGTCAAGTGATTTGGAATGGGTTGATATTTCGCTGTCTGTTTGGCTTCCAAAAGTCAAGTGATGGATGAAATTAAACTGGAAAAAATTCAGTTCAATGAAATATTTTTCTATTCAGTGTAATCTATACAAAGAATGACTTCTTGCAAACATATGCAAACATCAAAACAATATAAGCAAATTTCAAAATATAATCCCAGAAAGAAAGTATTTCTGTAATCATGCCAGGGTATTTTCTCAAAATTTTCCATCTAAGAGGAGAATTATCTAAAATGACCCTCAGATCATATGCCAAATTTACGAAGACTCAATTGTGTGCTGGCAACTATAGTAGTTAGGCATGAGTTTTATAAAGCTAGACGTAGTTAAACTCAATTCGTGTAATTACTTTCCAGATGATGGATGTTAGAATTCCTTTTGTTATAACATTGAATGTTATTCGCTCGTGAAAATGTGGTCTTTATTTTCATTAACTGGCATAAATCAAAACTGAAAGATCATTCTCCACAGAACAATCGCATAACATTAAACACAAATTTTTTATTATTTCAAGAGTCACTCACCTCATGCTGAGCAATATCCCATGTATTCTTGATATCTTCATTAATATAATATTCATTCATTGTTGAATTCAATTTGTTTTCCAACATCATCTCAACATCACTACGTTTCACATATCCTACTATTCCAGTGATTAATTCAAGCATCAATATCACAATTAAAAGGACTGAGTACTAAAAATTCAAAAATATAATGAAATATTAAATGTTCTTATGTGAAAAACTTACCGTTATGACCAAGCAATGATTTTCCTTGACGGCACCGCAACATCCAAAGAAAGTTATGATAAAAATCACAACACCAACCCCTATAAGGACTAGAGGGGTAGACTGATAGCTGCTATACACAAAATTTGAGTAATGAGAGTAAACTACGTGAACAATAACTCCAACTGTAAGAATTGCAATGCCAGATATCTGAAAATTCAGTGAAAAATTAAATAGACGCTGTTCAAATACAATGTACTTACCGCAAATAGTAGGTTGAATGCAAAAAGTAGATATTTAACACATGACATCCCACTTGATACCATTTTGTTAGTGTTTTGATGAGAGTTGAGTTTAATCGATAAGTATGAAACGACAGAAATTCACTTCTAATCTGTATACACCACCAACCACCAACACAAAACAAATGAAGCACCGAATCAACATCAACGAATGAATGAACTAAATTGCAGCAGTGTTTTTGACATGGGTCCACGGGAATTACAGAATGAGTAATGACAAATACAAATAATAGAGTATGAGCGCCCAATGACGATGCCTAAGACAGTTTAGCAGAGTTTCTTGATTCAACTCGAAATTTATGCTGGATTGCTTCAACCAATAGCAACGCGCAAACGTGTCGAAAGAACTAATAAATGAATCCATCGGATCCATTTATGAACTCATCGATGAATTTAAGAACCCTTGTTATCTTTGTCTAAAGAATCTTATTGTTAATAACATCGTCTTTATAGTTATAGATAATAACTATTTACCATAGTTTTCTATGACCAGCCATAATCTAACATTGAAAAAACTATTGAAGAAATATAAACTAACAATGAGACATTACTCAAAAGTAGAATTGAAATATCTCTTTCAGTGGTGTCAGTGCTTCCCCAGATCAGGTGGTGGGCATTGGTATCACAGATCACAGCCAATTATGAGATGCGATCTGTCTGCACGACAGGCTGCCGCTAGATATATAACCTATTATGTTTAGCATTCAGTTATTCATTCTTTATCATTCATCGTTGGTAAACATCCTTAACTCTCGCAAGTATTATTCGCGAGATACATTTTCTACTTATTGTCTCATTAGCTTATAACAATAATAATGATTATGATAATAATAATCATCGGACCCAATGATCACTTACAAGGCGTGGGGAGTCGTTTGCTAATAATGCTGGCGCGCCCTCCCGAATGTATCGGGGCTTCGGGGGATAGGGCCTGACCAGCGTATACTACGGTAAAAAAATATTAATAATAATGATAACGATAATATCCCGTTAAGAACTGAAAAAAAATATTTTACAAAATAGTACACAGTAACAAGGAAGACGTCCATGGGGTGAAAAATATAAAAATATAATAAAATACAAATTTAAAAACATTGACAGTCACTACATATGAAAGGATAGAATATTTTGACAATAGCTGCCTGGCTAGGGTGAAGAATTATTGATTTGCCAAAATTAATTGATGTTATAGCAGTTTTTTGGATGAGATAAGATATAATTCGAAATATTTGGCGAGTCTCTTATTGTGCTGTTCAACTTACCAAAAAGTTTTGGTCCAAGGTAAAGTAGACTTTTTTTGAAAAATTGCAGTTCAATGTGCAGAAGTTACCAATACGTATTTTTGAGGAAAACCCTGTTTCATTGTTATTGATTGACTTTTGACAATGTATAATGTACAGTGACTTGTTGTTTCCTATTTTGAAGACATGTCTTTATCAAATCTTGAGCAATTTCCCGCACTTTCAAAATTATTAACTCATTGCATACCCCATGGGTCTCCAAACTACGGTCCGCGGGCCAAATCCGGCCGCCAGTGTCATCAATCCGGCCCACGACAGCCAATGATTTACTGTCATCAATCTCGCCCGCGACAGCCAATGATTACCTAATTGTTGTTACTATTGCTGTGATAAGTTGAAGAAGAAAACACAGAATGATAATTACTCGGTTTTATTTACTTGCAAGGTAAAACTTAACTACAGAAATGATGAAAAAGAAAACCTAACTTAAGTATTTAGGCTGGCGCGAGTTGCAGACTCTTGTTCAGTATTCGCTTTGGTAAACAAAGATTGCTGCGATTTGAGTCCGCGTTTCAAAGCTTCAAATTTTTCCTTCCTCTAACTTCCTGTATACTTGGAGTAACTTTGAAGATGTTTCGATTTATAGTGTCGTTTAATGTTATAGACTTTGAAAACAGGTATGGTTTCCTTACAAATTAAACATAGCGCCTTATTACTGGACTCAATCACAAAATACTGAAAGTTCCATTTTTCTTGGAACGTTCCGCATTCACTGTCGATTTTTCGCTTCTTTTCCATATTAACAAATCACACATAAAAACAATAAGTCAAATCAAAATACTTTTATTGACGGGTGTTACTTTATTTCACAATAGACAGTTTCGCTTCCTTCGCCTTTCCTACGCAGACTAACTCGCAGTTGAATAAATGAATGAATGAAAATCGTTTATTTACATTTGTTTGATAATTACATTACATTTGTTGGGTGTGTTTGTGTGGGGCTTTGCTATAGGCTAATGCCTCTGTATGTGTGTGTGTTTTGATGTGTGTTGGAGTCTGTGTTGTGTTGTTTTTGTGTTCCGCTTATTCATATAGTTTTTCCGTTGATCCGTATGGTGGTCCGGGTCCATTGCAGGGGTCGTGGTTGTACTTTTTAGGTACGGTTTTTGGTCGGGGCTGTATGCGGGTGAAACTCAGGACTTTCCAGGACGCTGCTATCCGCTGTCCGCTTATCTGATCCTCAGTGGGAGTTCCTCTAGGATATCCTGGATCGGCTCCGGTGGGTCTTTCATTGCTCCCAGGAATCTGGCTGGGAGAAAGGGGAGCTTTTTCCTGGGTATCTTCCTGGATCCTCCACGGGGAATCCAAGGCGTAGTGAGCGTGTTGATGGCATCGGTGTTGTTGCTGCTCATCGTTCTGGTCGCATATCGTCCTTGAAGTTCCCGAAATCTTTGGTTGATTGGTGTAGTATTGGTGAAGTTGTATAGGTTTAGGGATGGGTATCGATAGGGAAGGTTGTGTATACTTCGAAGGATTCTTCTCTCGGTTGTAAGGATTCGGTGTGATAGTCTCGGGGGAAGTGTACAGTATATCATCGCTTTGTAGTCCAGGACTGGTCTTATGTAGGATTTATACGTATGTAGGAGAGTTTTACTGTCACATCTCCCGAGCTTGCCTCTCAGAGTCTTTAGAAGGTTGGCTCTCTTCCGGACTCTGTCCAGTGTCTCTCTCAGGTCAGTCTCCCAGTTGAGGGTCCTCATGAAGGTGACCCCCAAGTAGGACACCGAGTCCTGGAGTATGAGATTTTCCCCCAAAAGTCTGAGATCCAAGTTATCGGGGTTTAATTTAGGACGAGTAGAAGTGTTGGGATGTCGGAATAGGATAGTTTGGGTTTTGGTGGGGTTTATTTTGATACGCCAATTGTTGCACCATTACTCGAAATGGTCGATCATGTTTTGAGCTTGAATTTGTAAGCGGCGGGTGTCGGGGGCGGAAGAGTGAAGGATGGTGTCGTCGGCGTATTGTAGGATTTTATGGGTAGTGGGTACGTCATGAGCGTAGATAACTCGCAGTTGCGCCACTAGCCTTTTTATATGCAATAATTACTGCCATCTCGAGGTGATCGGAATACACTAGCTAGAACCAGAACTTTCTCGAACCAACGCGGTAATTCCAAATATTTAATACGCCCAATGCCTCCTAGCGGGTAGCTGAAAAAGATAGTACATAGTACCACTACTCGCCACTAGATGTCGTTAAGTGTCACAATACACAATAATAATTGAAATGCAAAAAAAGTGTAAGTTTGCTTAGGTCACGCACTTTGCGACTATCCTAGTCTAGAAATATAGTTGAGGGCAGAAATTGGCCCTTGGAACAAACTGAAAAAATCAATATGGCCCGAAGGCTTCAAAGTTTGGAGACCCCTGATCTACACAATTGAACGCTTTTGAGAAATCAATAAATAAACTGCATATATATTTGAAATTTGCAATCAAGATGAGTTATTAAATGATTATTGAGATTTTCAGTACTTCGATTATTCGTAAAAACATACTAATTCGATAGGAGAAGGTGATTACCCAGTAAAAATGAGAGCAGTTGGATTTTTAATGTTTAACTGAAATAATTTGGATATACTGGAGAGTTAACGTATTCCTCCATAGTTATCATATACATTAGGGTCTCCTTTCTTGAATATATCAGAGTAAGTAGTGCAACTTGTGATTTTTTAGGAAATACGCCATGCTCAACAGAAAGTTCAATTAGATATATCAATGGATTATACAACTACTGACCACATTTTTAAGAAGATTGTTTGGAATACTGTCAACTCCGCTAGCATCCGAATTTTTGAGTTTTGTCACCATGTGAAAATAATCAAATGCTGTAATTGTACTTATGGGAACGCAAAATGGCAAATTATCAACATGATTTTTCATTAAGTCAATATCAGCAACACCAACTAACCGAACCCTTCAATCAGATATCAATAAGCGTTGTATGTCGTAATGTGTGTCTTTATCAAGTATAGGTTGTGGAATTGAAACTTTAACTCCTATAAATTCATCGAAGATGTTTTCTCAGATTCATTTACTACATTTACTATTGACTAAATTGTATTACATGTCACGCGCTAATATTTTCTGTCAATGTAATCGTGTATCTGTGAAGTTCGCTCTCGAGTTCGCGGAGTCTTCACTTGAATGCACCTGTATTTGACATTGACGTTGGTGGGGATTTTCATATTTTTTAGGAATGCTGTGACGTTAAGGCAGTCCCTACTTAAAAATATTCTAGAAAAAAAAAATAAATTTATCTTATTTGCCTATCTGGTACAAAGAGAAGACTGTTCATATTAAAAGTTAACAATGGATTGTGCTTCCTTTTTGAGAAGTTATTCGCGGTATATGTTGATATTATTCAATCTGATATTTGCGGTGAGTTGATCAAATAAGTATTATCTGAATGCTGTGAGTCACCCCTCCTGTTTAATGCGTTTCCTTTTTATGATTTTTTTTTATACAACTGTGTTAACATTTTGGACTCTCAACTACCTACATACTATAGGTATATCATTCCACATTCCACCCTTCAGTAATTGTGGCTGACAACTGGATGCTTGGTGGCTGAAATTAGAATCTTAACGGCTGACTATAGGATTTTTCGAGTATTTACAGAAAAAGTTTTAATATCAATTTTAATGTAACGAATTGATAAAAAATTAGATTATCTATCCAACAAAGAAAACCTCAAAATATTTTACTATGTAGAATTTTTGGTAACTTTCCTTCCAGTTTTATTTTTTATCTTGATCTCAAAATGAGATGTTGCTCAAATGGCTGACTATTGGCTAATCTACCCTACTTTATGCAGAAATGTTTCAAGGAATTTGAAAATTAATGGAACTGTTTATTTTTTCCATTGTCCAGTTTAGAATATGAAATTGTTTTTTTTAACAGGAAACAGCTGTTAAAATAGGTTTTTCCGTTAACTAGCTGTTAACCAGCGAGCTTAAGATTAACGAGGTCGCACCTTTTAAGGAATATTCCTAGCACACGTTAAATGATAGGAAGTAAAAATTGATAGTGATCGTCCGGTCTCATGGCTTGAACCACGGGATCACACAGCGGTCGAATGAGAGAGTGGAGCAAACCACCCATGCCAACCTAACTGGCTACTGTCCCACAGGCTATTCAATGTTGAATTAAGGATATTGCCCTGGGAGGGCCAAATTTGTTTGTGTGTATATTTTAAAATAATTCTATTCACAGAAAGTCAATAACAAAATACAATCAAAATATTTTTGAATATGCTGATGTTGAGCGTTAGTTTCTATAGCTTTTCAATTTATGTACCCCCTGTTGAGCTAGTGGAACTCTTGTGGCTTTTTTGCTCTTTGAAGTCTCTGGAAAATATTCCACCTTTGTGGGCTTTTTACGTTTTACCTCTTTTTTTTATAGCATCCATTCCGGTAATCTTGTTCCCTGTACTAATTTGTACAGATCTTTTGTTGGCTGTTTCTCATATTTTTCTGGACATAATTTAATTTGTCCATAAATTGTTTGCATTCTGAGATCCAGTGCTTCACTTCTGCATAACAAATGACGAGCTGTCTCTATTCCTGTGTAGAAGCAGTTCTGCAGTAAGATGTTTCTTTATAATGTACTGTCTGAACAAAGGTGTGTGCACTACCAGATGTGTTTTCCCAATACTCTTTATGTTTCTCATTGACCTGTTCTCCGATCAGGTTCAGCTGGTTCAGAGCCAGTATATGGAGCTGATGATGTGTGTCTAGCCCTCTCGTCAGTTTTTCCTTGCCTGTGATTTCTGAGTGTACAGGCTCACAGTATGGAGTCAATCTATTCTGATCGATTTGGTAGTTTCTTCAGTATTTCAAAGCATTCCCAGACCAATCTTGATATCACTCTTGGATTTATCAAAGTTCTAAGTTCAGCCTAGGATTCTGTAGTAATATTGATGCAGACATTATATATATCAACTATCAGTCTGTGGGACTTTTTTTTGCATCCAAGTCAATATTAGAATATCTTCAACTAGTCTTCTACTTGAACCATTATCCTAAAAAATCTCAAAATTGCATAGTTTTTGGTATAGGAAATCTGAAATACAAAGTGTAAATTCAATTTTAGTGATTGAGTGATTCACTTTATATACAAGGAATCCGAGCTGGTTAATATAGAAACCAAAACTTCAGCATTGCCCGATACTTTATAGTTCCCCTTTTATTTACACTGCAAGTTGACGAACTTCCACACGATTCAGTATGCTGTTGATACCAATTTTTATGAGTGTCTCCTGGTCATGAATATTCGAGAAATTATCGGAAAATGTAAAAAAGAGACACATTGTTTGCAGTTAATATATTGCGACTTAAATTGTGTCATAAAGTGGAGCAAACTAACATATTCTTTTTGAAAGACTGTCATAAATCCCTCAAGTTTTTAGGTGTTATACTGGATGCAAAACTCAATTGGAAAGATGACATCACAGTTTTTTTCTAAGCTGTCCAGTATTCGTTACCTACTTTGTACAATCAATGAATTTGTTCCTTTTTATATTTCTGCTCTTCTGAAGACATTCAACTGATCGGTAGAGGAAGTTTATCTTACAAAACACCTTCCTTAAAATTTTGGGGAAAGTGTGCAATGTCTTGTCTACATTGAAACTAACAATACAACAGTAATATTGTTCAGATATTGAGCAAATTAAGTGATGGACTGAATCGATCCCCAGGAATTAAATATCTCAATTTTGTAGGAGTAGAAATTAAATTTCAATCTTTTTTTACACGATTTATATTAGCTTCACCTGTATGTAATGTATGTTTGTTTGTAACTCTCCTTTTCATTTCATATCAGGATCTGTATTTGACAGAATTACCGATATTATTGCTTGATCTATTCGCGGGCAGATGGCGCTGTGACCTTCTTGATATAATTTGAACTCACTTTACATGGATTTCTTCATTTGAAAAAAGGGTTTTTTTTTATTAACACGCACGCCTGCTGCCTTATTTGTAACCCTCCTTTGCGCGCCTGCTGCCTTGGGCTTTGTAGCTGATTTTCAAGCTCCCTTTCCGGAGTCGGAAAATATCAATGGTCATTTTTCCAAACAATATACGGCTGATTGATCCTAGTTCTACTTTAAATGAATGGTAACAAATTGCACTTAGATGGAACACTGTCATCCTCACTGGTATACATGGATGTTTCGCCGTAAGACACTTGCCTTAAGGCTCTTCAGTACCAAATTGGATAACATTATAGAAAATACACACAATTCATTCATGAATTACGATTTTTAATGTCACGGAATGAGCTTGATCTACTTATGTCATTGTAATGTGAACGTAAAAGTAGGTATCTTCTGTACAATTCAGTGTTCATATAATAGTATTTGTTTTGAAAAAAAAAAAAATTCTTTCGTGTAATTCAATGTTTACATGAAAGTAGCTGTTTCAGGAGGACTTTATTTCAGTTTGTGTCTGAAAGTAACTTCTTTGCATGATCTACAAATCCATGTATAGAGTTACTTATTTTCAAATTGATTACTTACTTCCTTTTTTTGGAAGATTCCCACGTCTCTCTTTTTTTATCAAGATGGAGTAGTGGAAAGCCAAAGACTTTCTTTCCCACAAATTAATCACTACTAAAAATATAACCCCTTCAATTCAAATATGTAGTTGTTCATTTCTTTTTTTTTTTCAGATTACTGGAATAATAATAATTTGTGTAGCATTAAGTGCTAAAGCATATTTCCATGAATTCGACACATTGATGGAAAACAAAGTTTTTTATGTGTCTGATTTGCTTATTGTCGTTGGGGTAATAATATTTTTCGTATCCTTCTTTGGATGCTGTGGGGCTATGAAAGAAAATGCCTGTATGACAACAACGGTAATTTCTCGCATTGCTGTTGTAAGTAATTATTAACATATTTTTATTTTTTTTCCAGTATTCTGCACTTTTGATCGTCATATTTTTACTTGAGTTGGCTGTAGGAATTTCTGGAGTTTTACTGAAAAACAGAACTGAAGAATTTCTTAAGGACAAATTGAATGAAACTATCCAAGACTATGGCCCACAAAATAATGAAACTACAGAATTATGGGATACTATTCAGAGACAGGTAAACATTGTAGTAGTTTTACATACAGTGCATTTCTTTAATGTCCCCTCCCCCTTTTATTTTTTGAACGAGTCAGTTCAAAAAATTTAAATTTGGGATAACGAAATTGATGCATGAATACTTTATTTTGAAGTGAAATTGACAGATGAAACTTTCAAGATGGCGACTGGACGCCATCTGGAAAAAAATTAAATGGAAAGGGGGTCTTGTGACACATCATTTTGAAGTTCCTGACGAATACTTCACAATCCTAGAATATGAAGTCAATATGTTCACCTACTACAAAATGGCAGAACATTTAATAAATTCCTGAAGACAAACACATTAATATCGATATTTCTAGAAATATTCCTTTTTATCTGCCATAATATGGCAATTCCAACAACTCACTAAGGTTTGTTAAGCTATTTTTTGTGTATAAAAACGTCAAAAAATGTCAGTTGGAATATTCTCATTTAGTTTTCGATTTTACTAGTAGAAAGGTACCACGTCAACAATCTCTAAAGTGGTCAATTTTTGTCCATTGAAAGAAAAAATTGAAGCGATTTTTTATTTAAGGTGCGACGTTCTCGTTCGCTATTTGGTATATGATTTTCCTTTCCTTGTTCCTGGCTTCATTGCTAAGTGGATACACCCAAAAGACAATAGATAAATTAGAAAATATAATCAAACAAAAAAATACAGAACAACAATTAAACCACTCCAATAGATAAAACAACACAGCGATGGACAGCATTTACGTACGTAGGTCTCCAAACCAAAAAACTAACAAACATCTTCAAACCCCTGAACATCAACATCACATACAAGACCTTACATTCAATATAATACACAAAACGATACACACTCCTAGGAAGAGTAAACCTAGAGAAGATCCAACACTAAGAATATTACCTGACATAACCCAAATACAGGCAAATTTACCTAAAGTATCTGCACTAAGGCGTTCTGACTGCATAAAAGGACAAACAAGAGGATGACACGTTCAGTTTGAGTAGAGTCTTCAAGATGATAGCACAACCAGCTGTCGAAAGCGCTCGCATATAATGAATAGGAGTTATAAAACTTCAAATCCCTTTGGTGACATATATTTTATTTGTATCATACACAGTCGACAAAATCTCTCTCTGTTATATATACAGGTTATCAATTTGAAACTTCCAGTAAACAATATGAGGAGAAATCTTTTTCTTGGTTGTGCTTATAATTCATGATTTTCATTTAAGTTCCACTGCTGCGGAATAGACAATGCCACGGATTGGGTGAAATTCAAAAAGGACGATAATCACCTTGTACCACTTTCTTGTTGCGATATTCCTTATGGTGCATTCAAATACAACTGCACGATTGAGAAAGCTTATCCAGAGGGTTGCCTGATGAGATTTGGAGACTTTGTGAATGATAATATATCTGCTATAGAGGGAGTTGGCATAGGATTTGCTATTGTTCAGGTAAGATGGATATTACTCAAAACTGTTTGATGTAGTAAATAATGACTGTACATTCACATGACTGTTGAAACTTGGAATTATCAAATGATTTGCGATTTAGGATATATAAATCAATATTAGGATTCTTTGTTTATTTTCTCTTTAGGCAGGAAATCCTCTTGAAAAATGTGTATTGTAAAATTCATTGAATAACAGTTGAAGATAACTTCAGATTTTTCAGTTAAAATTGTCTTCTCAGATCATAAGAGAAATAATCTGTTTTTCCGTCAACCAGCTGTCGCATCCCTACGAAGGAAAACTCTCAGAAGTCGAAACTTGTGAGAGCTAAGGATTGACGAGGTCTCACCTTTTAACGTGTGATTCCTAACACGGCTTTATGTTGCTTAATGATTTAGATTACTGTATTAGATATTTATGTACAACTTTTTATTATATGTGATACATACGAGGGTGATCTGAAAAGTTTATGACCTCAACATGAAAATAGCAGCACTCGTAAATGAAAGCTAGTGAAATTGGCTATTCATCTGTAACAGTCGTTTGAGTGGGTCGATGTGTTTTTATGAAAATGGACAAATGGAGTATCAAACTCATTAAATACTTGTGTTTGAAAGGCAATACACCTAAGCAAGTCAAAGATGTGTTGTGGGGACTCTCCACCATCATTTATCACAGTGAAATTTTGGGCAGCTGAATGTAAACGTGGCCGTAAAAGCTTGGAAGACGAACGTTTGTGATTCCAAAAACTGCAACTACCGACAAAAACATCGCAAAAGTTCACCAAATGGTGCTAGGTGACCGTCGAAGAAAAAACGTGTTCGTATGAACATTTCTCTGTTGGCACAGTTTAGGCGTGATAAATCTGAGTTTTGCCGCCAATTAATTACTGTAGAAACTTGGATACGCCATTATATGCCCGAAAGAAAAATAGAGTCCAGACAGTGGACTGCAAAGGTGAAACTGGCTCCAAAAAAAGCAAAAACTGTTTTTCCGCTGGGAAAGTGATGCTGACTGTTTTTTTGGATAGTCATGTAATAATTTTATTTGATCATCTTCAAAAAGGAAAAACCATTGCAGGAGCATACTATGCATCATTACTTGACAAGCCGAAGACAGAACTTGCGGAAAAACGGCCACATTTGCAGGAAAAAAATTCTGTTTCATATTAATATATATACAGGGTGTTTCAGAATTTGACGGACAAACTTATACCACGTCATTCCTCTTGCAAAATGATGAAAAATGAGGTAGGACATGTGTGTCCGGAAATGAGCCGTTTCAGAAATACAGGGCGTTGAAGTTGCAAAATAAAAAGACCCTTTTCGTGAAACGAAAAATATTTTGAAAATTAATTTTGACATGAATCAATAAATGACAAGTATTTGTTGATAACATAAAAATAATAATTTGTTTTACATCAGATACATACTGGATGAATCAGGATTACTATTTCTTCTTCGATTATTTATCATTATCTAATTTAAACAAATAAGTATAAATTTGACTGAGGCCATTCAAGTCAGTTCTTTTATTCATGGATTCTAATTCTTCATTTATGTGTATCATTTCTAGAAAAGAACGTTTGTAGGAATTTTTGTTCAATTTCTAAAATACTAGCATTAGTATAATAGTCCATTTGGTGGTCTAATGAATTTACATGTTCTGATAATGCACATGATAAAACATTTCTTCTGCATTCACTTTTATGAGACGTAATTCGACCTTTTAGAAGTCTTGAGGTCTGTCCAATATACACTTTATCACAATCTTTGCAAGGTATCTTATAAACGATATTATAATTTTGATCAGACAACCTCTAATACAAACCAAGATTCAAACAAAAAATTCTGTAGCCTTCCATATGTAAAAGATTTAACTTCAAAATTAATTAATGTTCTGAAGAAAACAAATCTCAGAATTGCTCACAAGAATGTTAAAACAACAAATCAATTCTTTTCAAAATTAAAAACACCTGTTAATACTGATATTAATTAATACAGATATTGTCAACTGATACATCTGAATCCAAATTTATTGGTATATAATTCCTCTGAATACAAATATAATAAAGTATTCTTAGGGTCTAATAATATTTTTTATTTTTCAGTTGTTGGGCATCATTTTTGCGTGCGTTTTATCGAAATTCATCAGGAGTGACTATGAAACAGTTTAAATTGATAATATAACAAATATATTCTTATCCTTATGTTAACATTTATTCCAATATTAATCTACATTGTATAATTCAAATTGGGCTGTATTTCTAGTAGTGGGTGTACTGAAGAATACCTATACTTCTAGCACCTAGTTAGTTTTATGTGATATAAATGTACTGAAAACTTTAGTATGATAGTGGTAGTATTTTTTGTAAATGAAAATAAAAATAAAAAGTTTCTTGTATCTTTATTGAACGAATAGCTGCGAGGAACTATGGAAATGAGCTATTAATTGAAATTGTAAGCAGTAGCGAATTTTCGCCAAAGGCTAAGATACAGGTAATTTGTACAAATAAGATAAGTGACTAATTAGTGTGTCCAGCTGATTATAAAATATTTGCACTAAATAAATAAATTTTATTTAATACACAACAATGACAGTACCCAATACTTATTTTCGAAATATGTTGAATGTTGATACTACATTATTAGCTTCAATGGAAAACCTTCAAAAGAGCTCAGGATGATTTCATGAATATAAGATTGTGTTTAAAATAATAATCTGAATCAGATTAACATTAGATTTGAAGCTATCATGGGAGATTCACATAATCGATTTCGGAAATAAATAAGCTATTTGTGAATTGAAGGGGTTATATTTTTAGGAGTGATCAATTTTTGGGAAAGAAAGTTTTTGGCTTTCTACTACTCCATCTTGATACAAAAAAATGTGGAAATCTTCCAAAGTTGCTTCTTTGCATGATCTACACATTCATGTATAGAGTTACTTATTTTCAAATTGATTACTTCCTTTCTTTGGAAGATTCCCACATTTTTTTGTATCAAGATGGAGTAGTAGAAAGCCAAAAACTTTCTTTCCCAAAAAGCTATTTGTATCTCTTTAGAAATGTCAAGGACATTGTTAATGAATTTATGGCTTAAATAGTACCATATCTAAAATGGGCACTGTTATATATTTTATTCATCTTTAAAAATGTGACATTTAATATGTAACGTCTACTTGATTCAAAAAGCGCTTTTATAGTATGCTTTCTGTTTTTTTTGTTTTGGGACGCAACAATTGATATTAAGTATCACATAAAAATATATAATTCAAAAGCCAAAATATTGATTAAAAAAATCACAATGTCAACTACAATACCATGTACATATTATCTTTCCACCAAGTTTTTTTTTTCAATTGATGAATCATTGGTATAATAAATTTAACAAACACATTTTATTGCCTTTAAGCATGTCATGAAGCATTGAATCAAACACAGAAAACGTACTTGAATGTTCAGAAACTTGGAAATTTTGTGCCGGTAGTTACAATGGTTACTTCACAAATTTGGAGTGATTTTTAGACCATTCAAGAAGTTCTCTAGTAACATTTAGTGTTTCTATATGCGAAAATAAGTTCAGAACAAAAGTTTTTGAACATTTTCGTCTTTTTGGATCTGTCAAACATAATGCCAAAACGGCCCATCCATCAGCCATATTCGGATAAGAATGAACAGCTTTTTGTGCAGTAATAATAGCTTTACGTCTATCACCAACTAGCACTGAAGCAAGAGAAACAAACACAAGAACCTTGCTAATATCCGTGGTTTTCTGGCCACTCTTAATTGCAATTTGGGCACATTTTACTGCTGCTGCTGACTGCTTTTTATCCTTTCGTACTTGTAAAAGCAATAATGCTAAAGTTAACCACAAGGAATCATTTTCAGGATGCCTGTGTACAAGCTTACTGATTTCTGTAACTGCCGCACTGTTACTGGACCGCAATAAAAGCATACATGAAAGTAATGATGCATAGTGGGGAAGACACTCAGAATTATCTTTCAGCAGCTCTAATTCTCTTTTAACCCTATCTGCTAGCTCCATATCTTTGTGCAGCAGCCCCAGCGCTAGAGTAGAATACAAACTCCATGGAGACGGTGGCGTCAGCTGCCTGCTTTGGTCTAGTAGAGTCTTTGCTGTATCTGGGCCTTGAAACATGTAAGCCATAGAAGCAAGTGCTACCAACAGCTCTGATTCATGACTCTGTTCCTGTGTCAACCAGCGCAAGGTCTGCTCATAGGCAATATATGATTCTTCGTAATGTTTACTTTGGAAAAGAGCCAGTGCTAACCCACTTCCACTGCTAAAGGTAGCATCCTGTACTTCCTGAAAGATGTTGATTGCTGCGGGATAGTTTCCAGACTTTGCTAAAATTCTACCGTAGTTCACTCTCGCTAGATCACGGTGTTGTGAAGACAGCTGGTAAGCTTTTTTGAAAGCGTGGAGAGTACCTGCAACATAGTTTTGATATCAAGTGAATGACTAGCAAATACTATTTTGATATACCTTCTTTCAGGCCCATTCTTTCTCTGAGCAATCCCAACATATTCCAAGCACATCCATCGCTCTCGTTTCTTTCTGTATACCATGTTAATGCATCACAGGCAACAGGAATTGCATGCATATCCTCGATTGAGTACAGATGAGAATTTGGCTCTGCTGTTAATAGCGTATGACACACCCAATGTGCATATCCAAGAGCTCCCTGTTGGTTCTGACCCAGTTGAACACTGTGCCTATAGAGGTCCATGGCTTCCTCCTTCCTCGAGTCAATAGCTTCAGCTATCATTGCCTGCCCTGGAAAATGATAATGCATCAGAAATATGGGAGCTGTTGCAGTAACATTATTTTTGTTTTATTCATTTATATCACTGATCCGCTTTTGTTTTGTCAAAATCTCTTGACCCGAGAAATAAGTAGGATACAAGTTTGTACACATGTTGATAGATGGAACAGGAATCGTTTTCAAATGTAAACATAGATGTCAGCTTAGCGCCTCTGTGAATGAAATTTTGAAGTTCGTTGGATCTCTTCCTTTTTTGAAGAAGCAAGATCGTCAAAATATTTTACACAAGGAGGAGTTTAAGTGGTTACACCAGAGTATTTCTATCCATTTTGGTTGTAGTTGTTGACTGTTGGATGAAGAAGTAGAGACTTCAAAAAAGTATTTGGTATTTTCTTAGAAGACACAGTAAAAAAGAAATTGAATGATCCCTTAGTTGGTTCAGAAACTAAGATATAGTATACAATCTATGAATAAAAAAAAAGAATGTTTAAATATTTGAAGAGATCCAATGCTGGCAAGACCAATAACTTTGAAGATAATGTTTGATGGCCGCTAGCTACATGAGAGAATATTCAGTGTATGTCAAATGCTGAAGACTGCTCAGGAAAGAATACTTTTTTTTATACCAGTTCCTGTAGAAGATTTGCAAAGATCGAAATTTCATATATTAGATAATAATAGCTAGAAATGGGATGAAACTGCTGAATGATCGAATATGCAGTTCGTCGAACTAATACAATATATTCTGTCATTTCTGCGGACATAACACCCGAAAATTGGGCAAAACCGTGGTCAAGTGTTTCTGACTATTGGCCTCGTCAATGCGGTGCAGCCAAGTGAGGGTGGGCGATACTTGTTTGACAAAAACTACACATATGCATGGAGTCACCAACAGGAACCAACCCCACATTTGTAGTTTTGGTTAGGAGATAATAACTTTTTCCCATTCAGTTTGTACTCCAAACAATAAGTATGGAATTGAAACAGATATAGGTAAGCTACACAACTCAATATATGAAAGAGTATCAATATACAATTTCACTTACATAAAAACCTATCACCCTTAATGGTGTACTTCGAAGTTTCGGGACAAAACACTTGTCTCATCGCCTGATCAGCGACGTTTCGATAACATTAAAAAACTAAGCACTCATTTCTTTCATGACATTACGACTTTATGTCACCAGAAAAGACAACTCTGCTTTTGTCAAGAATGACAGCGTGTTTTGTGGTTTTCTACTTCCCCACCATCAAACAAAAATGTGAGAAGCTTCAAAAGAAAAAAATACAAAGAAAATTCTCGTAATTGTTTGGAAAGGGTTTTTCCCATTTTGTTTCTGGAACAAATTTCTATGAATGATTTACATACCTATCTTTATATAGAGTTTTTATTGTAGTTTTCTTTCATTTGTTCCTTGTTTAATGATGGAGAAGTTGAAAGTCAAATAGTTTTTTTCATAAAAAATCAATCTCATTTGAAAATATTAGTTTACGCTTCGTCACGTTGATTGAATATTTTCATTGAATCATTTCCTCATTCCTCGATTGAGAAATCCATAGAACTCACTCAAAAATATAGTTATTTCATTAAGGATACAATAGAAGATCGAAAACTTGAATATTATTTGGGCCATATATCTTGTTGAGTTTGAATTGTTTCAAATCTGATAAAAATTAAAGGTAATAAATTGATTGTATTCAACAGTCGATAGATGTTGAGGAAATTTAAAGCTATGACGAAAAAAAAATAATAACCAAGAATATTTTATAGTTTTTTTGAACTTTCAAAATCTCTTGAATCAAATGAATGATCAATATTCAGAAAAATAAAAAATTTAAACACCATATGAAAATTAATAGTAAGAGGAGTGATGCATTTTGGTAAATTTCTCATGTTCAGCCTGGTTCATGGAATTTCTTTCACCCTGCAGTGGACGCGTCGGGTCTATCAGGCCCAAGCAATCATAATTGCTTGCGTCATTTTGACATAAAAGCGCGTATCGTGCTACGAGCGTCAGTACCTTCGAGTTAGCCCACGGTGCATGTACTACAGTAGTTTCAACGCAGTGTATTAGATAACAACGATTTTAGAGCAGATTTCGGTCTTGCAGACCCAACGCGTTCCTTTTTGTAAGTATTTTTTCTATATATTTGAAATAATTTCATCCCTATTTTTGGATTCAAGGCTTCAATTTCTTCAACTTTCTGCTAAATATTATGTGAGAAATACACGTAGGTGGCTTATGGTAGTTTTATATGGGCTCCTCAATGTTGCTGGTATAAACGCCATGGTTATATACAGGAGTAATTCAAATGGTACCAATTCAAAAATTGAAAGAAGAATTTTCCTGAAACAACTTGGTACTGAACTTTTGATGGAATACATGAAGAGCAGATAAAAACTCCCAATATCTGCCAGCTAGCAGCTAGAATTATTGGTAGTGTGTTGGTTGAGCGTGTCGAAAATGAACAAAATAAACGTGGAAGATGCGCCTTCTGTAAAGATCGAAAAACAAAATATACATGCCGGTTCTGTAAAAAATATATATGCCTAGAACATTCTGTTTCTGTTTGTCAAGTATGTACTGCAAATTTGTCGGAATAATTGTTAAACATAGTGTTTAGTGCAACGATACCAAAAATACATACCGTTTTTATTTTAATTCGATTTTTTTTTATGTTTTGAAAATATGACATTATTTTCCTTTCATTTCATAACTATTTGTCCATATAAATGATTTATGTAACACTTTATAAGAAATACAAATTCATTTAAAAAATTTGATTATTCTCGTTTTGGGTATATCAGACCCAAGGCGTTCTTTGATGTAAAAATTAATGACGCGTCTGGTGCAGGGTTAATGCCCTCCCCTTTTGGTTTTTGAATGGGTCAACTTAAAAAATTGATATTTGGGATAATTAAATTAATGCATGAATACTTCATTTTGAAGTGAAATTGACAGATGAAACTTCCAAGATGGCGACTGGGCGCCATCTGGAAAAAAAAGTTAAATGGAAAGGAAGGTCTTGCGGCAAATCATTTTGAAGCTCCTGTCGAATACTTCACAACCCTAGAATATGAAGTCAATATATTCACCTACTACAAAACGGCGGAACATTTAATAATTTTCTGAAGAAAAACACATTAATATCGATATTTTTAGAAATATTCCTTTTTATTTGCTATATGGCAATTCCAACTACCCGATGAGGTTTGTTAAATTACTTTTTGTTTTTAAAAACAGCAAAAAAAGGCCGCACGACAATGAACATCATTGTTCAGTTAGAATAGTCTTATTTAGTTTTCGGTTTTACTAGTAGAAAGGTACCACGTCAACAATTCCTAAAATGGTCAATTCTCGTCCATTGGAAGAAAAAATTGAAGCGATTTTTATTTACAGTGCGACGCGTAACTTTCACGAGACCGAAAGGATTTTCAATGAACGTTTTCGAATCGTCCTATCTGTACAAAGTATTTGAGGAAACTTGTATCCAAATTCACAATTACCGGTAGTGTACATAACAAAAAGCCCCCAGGTCATTCGTCCACTGCGGAAGAACAGCAAGTACAAATAATTGGTGAGATGGTAGTAAATCCTGAACAGTCTACTCATTCCGTCGCGAATGTTTGTGAGGTGTCTCCTTCTACTGTGTGGAGACTTTTGAAGAGGAATAGGTATCATCCATAAAAAATCAAAATGGTACACCAAATAACTGAAGATGACCCTGATCGAAGAACAGATTTCTGCAAAATCATTACGGAAACCATTGCAAGGTATCCTACCTATCTCCACAATATTTGTTTTAGTGACGAATGTACATTTTTTTAAACGGCAATGTTTACAGACAAAATTGCCGTTATTGGATAATTTTTTGAGTTGGCCCGTTTAAAAAATAAAAAGGGGGGAAATTAGAAAAATGTACTGTATATTCATTTACAAATGACATAATTTAAATGGTAATTTAATAGAGAAGTTTGATACCTATCCAACTGCTAACATAATTGGGGTCCGATCTTTGTCCCTGAGCGAATGCCTTATTAGCTAGTCTCAAATCCTTTTTCATTAAATACAGTACGCCTAAATTAGTCCAAGAGATGGCACAATTTTTTTCAATTGTTACAGCTTTAATGAAATAATGCTGAGCCATTGCATAGTTTTGTGGTTCCTTTTGCATCTCAATGTTTCCAAGTAGATTCCAATGCTGCCAATTACTGGAATCCATAGAAACACAATGTTTTGCAGCTGCTTTTGCATAGGTCAGCAAGAGTTCTCTTTTCTCATCATTTGTTGTATGCAAAGCATGTTCTAAGTAACATGTAGCTAAGTCAAACCATACAGAAGAATTATCTTTAGCTAGACTAATAGATTTGCAGTAGCAACTCGTTGCCAAGCAGTATAAATCCTCCCGTTCAATCAGCTTCTTCCCTTCCATCAACATTTCTGACACAAAAAGACAGCAATATTTTTCGGGTAACTTCAGCACAAATAGGCAAGAATCGCCTATCAATTTCCACAAACATGAAAAATCACTGCGTTGTGTTATTGCTGTGGTTAGATTGTTGATTGCGTTTTGTGCTAAATCTCTTGCAGTTCCTAATCTGAAATAGAAAGAAGGACCAGATGAAGATATACAAGGTTTTCACTAAAAGTATACGAAAATTACGATGGAAAAATATGACCTTACAATAAATTGATTACAATGTGGTAGGAAATCATAATGAAGAAAAGAGAATTGAAACTTTCTATGTTTTTTACCACTTTTATTTGTAATTAATGTTACTGGAGTTTCTTCCTATACTGACATTTTCAAACGTATACAATAAATTATACAATAAGTGTAAACTTATACAATAAGTTTGAAAATGTCTGTATAGGACGAAACTGCAGTAACGTTAGTTACAAATAAAAGTGGTAAAAAACATAGAAAGTTTAATTTCTCTTTTCTTCATATGACCTTATGTTTTCTACCACATAAATTGAACTCTGATCATGGAAGATTGATTTGAATTCTTCAAAGATAAAAACCTTGGTGTTGTTGGTGTTGAAGAACAAGACACTGAAGAAAATGAAAAAAACATGATTTCTGTAAAATCTAAACCACAATCATTTTGAAATCTGATAATCCTATTATCAAAAAAAATCTGTGAAATTGAACATTAATTACTATCATATGGAAGCAATAATAAAAAAGTTGGTGTTACATTCCAAATTTTGTGTTTTTTTTTTTTAACAAAAGTTCAAGACCTGAAATTCAAAATAAAAAATGAGACTTAAAATTTCCCATGTTTTTATACCACTTGTACTTGTAACTAACGTTACTGCAGTTTCGTCCTACAAAGACATTTTCAAATGAATACAATAAAGCTTATTGTAAAGGTACTGGTAGGTACTGGTAGAATTATTTTATAACTAAATGAAATCTTGAACAATTATTCTTGTGAAGGAATCAAGGTTCCTTGATGTTTTTTTGGGTTTCTAACCTCCCGCAATGAGAAAAATAAATAGATATGGATCAACAGAAAATCTATAACTATAATAAAGCTCAAACTGAAAAGTTCATACCAAAAAGTTACTGCATGATATAAACCTTTGAAAAGTCCAATCAGTAATTTGTTTTGTTTTAAATTTTCCCTATAAATCAACTGAATAAATGAAAAAAACTTGGTTTCAAATACTTGGCTATTTCAATATAGTTGATGTTACGTAACCTTCAAAATACTTGCGAATACGCCTCTTTCGGGAATGCACAAATTACACAACACAACAAAAAAATATTTTTTGAATGTTTCCTACACTAAATTAGTCAATTTCTACTAATTTTGGGGTGATAAAAACGAAAATAACAATGAAAAATTTTTATTAGCTCTGGTTTT